TGTAACTGAACTATTTCACTAGATTTGATCTTTTTCGTGTCATAATGAAAACATTTACTATTACGGGGTGAAAAGAAAGTTTCTTAAAAAGTATTTTACACTATAATGTGACACTTGAACTCTCCATTGAAATCCACACGAATAGGGTTAGGCAGTTTAAAGCAGGATGGCCAGCCACACTGAATAAAGGATATATTGGAACTATTATATCAATTAAAGGTATATTAGACCTTTTAATAAACCATTAACTTATAAATTAAATTAAGTAAAAATTATCTTGCATGTGCCTACAAACAGAACCAGCATAATGGAAGGCAGAGCTCGCTCGCTGGAAAAATTAAATCTGAAAAACAGAGCTTCCTTTGTCATTTGGAAATAGTTTGGCTGCATGAGATGAGCTGTAAATCAAACTTTTATGATTTGCAAATTACATCAGAACCCTGTAAAGGGGGTGGAAACACTGAAGTTCTTCCACCGCCTCAAGCCAAAACACTGGCCAGATGTTAGAGTGACAACAAGTGAGCAAACTCCTTTACTTCGGACAGTATTGTCAGCGAAGGGGGGGATTTCGCTTAGCCAAAGACATAATGCCAACCCAAACTGTTTACAAGGGCAGATAGTCTATGTGGGTAGCATTCATGTTCTGTTCTTTTTTAGACTAGTTAATTGGTGTATTTTAGTATTTGATGATGGTGAATCTTGGCTTAAATTTTGGATAACTGTTTGATTGCACAGCTGCTAAACACTGAATATTCTGTGGGCAAAAACATATAGTTTAATAAGAGTCATTTACTGTGTATCATTTTTGGAAAACTACATTTAAATATTGTGATATAGATCTATATATAAGTCTATATCCCCAAGCCCTAAACACCACTTCCCTTGTTTAGTGGTTTTTCACAATAAAACATGGATGTTTCCTGTCCATCCTGCTTTCATTCAGATCATCGCTCTCTTGAAGTCTCACCTGTGATGTTGACCAAACCGATGAGGCTCTCTGGAACTCTGTGCCAAACGTCCACCAAGCTGGCCATGTGGATGACGACATCGACCCCGCGGGAAGCCTCCAGCACACTGCCATAGTCTGTGATGTCCCCCTGAATGACCACCACCTTTGTCCGCTCTGAGGACGAGGCAGAAGGACACAAAGTCAAAATCACATTGTACTTTATGGAACTGACCCTCAGGACTTTTTTTTTGACACTAGTAATCTGTAACCTATCAATAATAACCTTCCTAACGCTTGTTATCATATATGAAGGTCTTGCACCCTGGTTTATGTTAGCTCCCATGCACTGTCCTTGAAATGCAGATAACAAAACAAGACAGAGTCCTGCAGCTGACAAGGACGGCGACTGCACCTTTGAACATCAACTCAAATTCTGCTGCAATGCAGACACTCCTTCCGGTGAAAGCACTCATTCACAGTTTTGGGAAGTGTTTAATTACATCTGCTTTTATTAACCATGCGTCACTGAGACAGAAGTAGCTCTGTGGTTAGCTGATCTCTCAGGGGGCCAATCCTGAAAATAATTAATGAGCTGAGCGCAGCCGTTTCCACCGTGTAACAGAGGTATCATTTGTGGTTGGGTGGATCTCAAAGTGGTGAGACAAAATGCATGCAATTGATTTTATTTTTATTTATACCTACAGTAACACACGCCTCCTCAACAGGAAAACCACCCTCTAAACAATTGAATTTGAGTGTGTGGGGTCTGTTTCCCCAGGAAGAAAACAATCACTAGGGCAGAAACAGACACACACCCCAGTTTCATGGAAAACACGGACACTCTTACAGTGCACCGATTCTATCTGTGATAAAGTATACAGTGACAAGTTCCAACAACTTTATCCTCAGGAAATGATGGGGAAGCTGACTCGTCTGGATTCCTGGCTCAGCTGTCATTGCTGCAAGTTGACCCAGTGACCATACATCACGGGAGGGGAATCAGTGTCACGCTATGGTATTGTTTTTTTCCACACAGAGACAGAAGTATGTTCCATTCAAACCGATGACATCTGCTGGATAAGACCACTTGCCTTCACTGTTTTCACTGAGGAGGAGGGTTAAATGGTGAAGACAGACTCAATTACTAGTTGTTCCACATCCAAACTCCATAATATACATCAGGGCTATTGATTAAGAATGGGTCATCAGTATCACAGTAAGGATAAGGATAATCGCTTTACTTGGCCAAGTGCGTTACACACAAGGAATTTGTTTCCAGTACAGAACCAAGGCAGCCAACTCACACCGATGGCTCTAAACATCGGGGGCAACAGAAATGTTCTCATCTTTAGGAAGAAATACACCACCGATCTTATGACCGAATTATAAAATCTGAAATAAAATTAAAGCAACAGCTAAAATAGGTTTGCCGAATATAAGAATCACTAATAAACTATGCGGCTTTTCCAAAAATAAAGTTGAAATTTGCAGACAGCTCGTGGCCGCCTTACCTGTGCTGTGTCCACCTAAGCTGTGGTCTACCTGTTTGTCAAACAGTCGGACCTCCACCAGTGAGTCCTCTTTCTCCAGCAGAAGCCTGAGCAGGTGTTTGCCGAGGAAGCCGCAGCCTCCGGTGATCAAATACACGAGACCACGCTGGTTGTCAGACATGGTGTGAGACCGGTGCAGTACTGTTCTCCGACGAGTCTCTGAGCTCTGAGCTGAACCCTGTACAGGGAACACACCATATAAGAGGAGAGCACTACAAAAAAAAAAAAAAAAACAAACTTTATTGATACTTGCTAGGAGGGCAGTGGAAAGCACGTCTACATGGACTAATGCGCTCAAAACACAAAGGTGAAATAATTTTACAGAAGTGTTTCCTTTTTTCTCCTTGTGGTGGAAGAACTTGTCACGTTGTCTGTTTAAACCGGCTAACAGCAGCAATATCACAGTGTAAAAATGCTCTTTTAGAAGTTCTGCATTCAAAATGCCACTGAATTAACATATTAGCATCAAAATACAGAGAATGGCATATTTCACATAAATGTAAATCACATTATTGTATCATAAATTACTGATGTATTATTGTGAACATGGAAATTAGCTGATAAGGTAGAGCTAATGTTAACTACCTTATATGTTAACAACCGTATGTGCTTATAATTTGAATCACTGCTGGGTAGAGTGTGAACATCCCACCAGGGATCAATAAAGTCTTATGGCCGCATTAAAGTAACTGAAATTTTGGAGTAAATGTAGTGGAGTAGAAAGGACAGTATTTGCCCCTAAAATTTAGTGAAGTATGAAGTAGATATAAGATATAAAAGATATAAAATGGACTTCTCAAAATATTTTAAATATTTCCGTTTTTCTCGGTGATTGTGTCCAGTGATTTTCAATGTGTACATCCTTTAATCATTTGACTGATTTTATGTTGATTCTGTGTTTTGGAAAAATGAATATACTGTTTTCTTCCTCATGGATAAAATTTTAACTAATGTACAACTAGACATGAACCCACAATTTAAGCATTACATGTGGTCCTGGAGCAGAAGCCAAAAGTCCAAACAGGACACTGTCACTACAAGGACAAACATTAATTTGAAAACTAGTCATACCAGTTTAAGTTCAAGCCAGTTTTTTTGTGATCGCCTAAAAAGTAAACAAGCCAAATGATCAAAGGTTATGATAAACACATACTACACATGCTCTTGTACAGGTTTAAACTAGACTTAGAGTCTACAGCCATAATGATCCAGCAGTGTTACTTTACTTTATTTTTAGCATCACCTTGATATTTTATTGATGTTTTTAACCTAATTTTGTTATTGTATTATTGAACATGATTTTATTTTGTGTTATGTTGATAATTCATTGTTGTTTTATTATTTTCTTAGACTATTGCTGGCTTATATTTTGTAAAGTGACTTTGGGTGTCCTGAAAGGCACTTTAAAAAATTATTATTATTATGCCACATGCAGACTCTCAGATGATGCTAACATGCTCATAGCTAGTGATGATGCCAGCATGTTGATGTTTTAGCGCATATAATGTTCATTATCTTAATTTAGCATGGGAACATTTACAAATTTGCAGACCCCACCAATATTTCAAAAACTTGAAGTTCACTGCTGCATTACTCAGCTTCAGATGGTGAGGTCTAGCGACCCTGCCAGCGCCTCTCCAAATTAGGGTTGAACTCTTCCAGTATAACACTGTTGAAGTCATGACTGAGATTGAAAAAAGGATAAAAACTGATGCAGCAGAACCAGAGATATTGGCTTTATTTCATGCATTCTTCTTCCTTGTCTAAAGCTGGTGCCTACATTACCACCATGCAACTCATTCACAGACTATTTATTTTCAAACTTGTAGTTTTCAGACCTAGACAAGTGGCATCACATAAGACAGTTTCTCGGACTTGGTGTAGCTCCTTCTAAAGCAACAAACTTTGTTCACAGGTGCAGTAACACTCCCTAAGACCAGTAAACTGTACTACATAAGCTCCTTACACATGGTTCATGGGAATTTGGGAAAGACTTACGTCAGCCCGGAAATGATAAGGCTGAACTGTGGGTGTTGAAGCACCAAGGTCTGTAACCAGCCAATTAAGTGCCATTTCCAAATAATGAGCTCAATTCAATTCTGATGAAATCATCCCTGTTAAAAATAGTTGAGCTAGTTTGAACACAATCAGATCAGATCGCCATCTGTTCTCGTCTTCACCAGCTCTCTCATTTGCTCTATTGCCATCGCATGGCTTATGAGATGTATTTTAAGGCCAGATTTCGGATGCTTCCTCTCGCACTACTAAACAGGAAACATCAAAGTTGCAGCTGCACTGACAAAAAAAAATCCTGCTGAGTCTGCTCAGATATTCATCTGTACCTTCCATTGGGCATAATACAACCATGAACTGTCTCTCAGCATCCTTTAGACATGAAATAATGTCTAACCTTGAACCTTAATGTTTCTAATAGTAGGAAACCAAATGTTATTGAAAAAAAACAAGACTCTTATTTATTTAAAAAATATTTTAATGCACCATTAATAAAGGGTCCAACGTATTAATACAAGAGAAATATTGCAAATAATATTAAAATAATCATCAAATTAAAAGGAAAAACAATAAAAAATAAATGAATGGAAGGTATGTACAGGTTTCCTCCTCATGGAGAGAGGACAAGGAACAACATATTTACAGCTTGGAATCAGTGTGTTTCTACGAGAAACAAACACCTTTACAATATTTATATGTTCTTTTATTTTTTCCCCCCTCTCATTTGTTATCCTGTAGTAAAGAGGGCTGGTTTCCACTCAAAGGCTATCATTGCAACAAGAACGTCCAGCCATATATACTACAAACGGATCTTATGATGAGGACGTTTGCCTTAAGCTGATTCTTATATAGTTTTTCAGGGAGAGATGTTGGAAGCGAATTACTACACACTTTCAAATAAAATACATAGTAATGCATTCTGGGAAGGCCCACACAACAGCTGGGCAAAAATACTTTACTAAACCTTTAAATCTGAAAACTGTGCATTTTAAAAACATTTTTAGCACACACAGTGACTAAGTTCAACAATGACCAAACATTTATAGTCGGACCTGCAGGAGTTTGGTGGCGATCTTTGCTTTAATGACTGAAGAACTCGCAGGAAATGTTTGCCAGCTCCTGAACTGGAAATCTGACATCTGCTGACTGAAACAAAACATAAGGATACCATGGTAGAAACAACTGAACACTGACAAATAGACAGAGCGATCCCATCAAACAAAGACTCTCACGTTCTCCTCATAAGACCTTTTCTTGACAAAGCTTAAACTTAGGGGGCAAAAAAGGTTGTGCTGATACTACAGACAAAAATTGAGCAGCCATAAAAAAAATAACACATTTTTAGCTACATCTTAACTGGCAAATATTTTCATAGTGAGCTAAAAACAATAATTCAAAAGGACTTCACTCTCAGTCATAGAGACTGTTTTGGCCAATCGGGAGAATAAAACACAACGGACAAAGGAAACGGGCTCTATAGGTCTTGATGAATCACGAGCCACTGAGGACTGGGTGGGTACACTGAAGCTCATTGCACTGTAAGATTCTTACAGCTAATGCAAATAAACAACAATACCATTAATAACAGCAACAGTAATATTATTATATAATACCGTGAAATGAAATTAAAAAAAAAAAAAAAAGCTTCAAAACAATCTTCACACTTGGAAATCTTGCATAACTGAAGACCAAATTGACTGAAGTTGTCATCTTAAAACTGCGCCCTTAACAAGCGCTTTTAAAAACCCTGAATTTATCAGATGTTCCTGTACATCTGTGTGACTGGGTGGGTGCAGGGAGGGAATCGGCACTGGAAGAGTGATCCCAGGCTGCAGGTTATTTGAGCTGACATAGACATAAAACATCAAGTTATTTTTCTCGTTCTTTTTCGGTTTTAACTCTCAAATCCTCAAACAGATATTGGCACGGAAATCAAAAGACCTCTCATGCCTGGCTGCATGGAGCAGCTTAACTGAAACATTATCCAACAATACTGCCACAGAAGAGCTAGTGCTGAAACAGAGGCCCCCCTCACACACTGGCATGTGAAACTGCCAAGTGAATGAGGTGTGTGTGTGTGTGTGTGTGTGTGTGTGTGTGTGTGAAAAGTGCAAGTGTGTGCATCTCTGTTTCCTGGGTTTTGTGAGGACAGCTGTTCGGCCATCCATAGGAGTGACTGGTGGGGTATCAGAGGGTGGCTTTGACTCAGTGTGCACGTTGGGTGGATCTCGCTGGCCATTGGCGAAAGGGATCTTGTTCTCCTCCAGGGGGAATTTGTAGTCATAGGTGATCTCTTCGTTGACCGCGATGGCCTGCTTCGAGTAGATGACGATCTTTTTCTGGGACTCTATGGTGATGACCTTGGCGTAGCAGTTTGGCTGGAAGAACAGGAGAGTAAGGGACTGATGAGCCACAGCTCCACAAAGAAATGACAATAAAATGATGTATCATCTGTTACAGCCAGTTAGCTGTGACCCAAAACGTGCCAGATGTTTGGACTCACAGTGCAGCAGTGGTTGATGAACCGTGCCAGGTTGCCACACTTGGTGGCATCTATAATTGTGTCGTGGTCCACTCTGAACAGGTAGCTGCTCCCGATGCCCTGCTGTGCGTATTGCTTCTCTCTGTTGTCGGCCACCATCTGAAAACACCACACATTTGCTCACTGATCCCATAATAATCCTAATGGAATGCTTGCACATGTGTTATGCATGTTTTAGGTATTCTGTAGCAGGAACTGGAAGGAAACATTTCACATCAAGACAACAAACAGACTGCACAGGGTGTCTGGAAGGTTTTGCTTTAAAATGATCACGGGTTCAACACAAAGTGTTTAGCATATTCAAGAACTGGCAGTCGTACCTGTCGGATGTTTTGACCCACGTACTCAATGACCATCTCATCAGCAGCAATAGGCTCCATGGCGAACAGACCCCATTCGTGGATCCTGCTGCGTCCAAAACGAAGCTTCTTCTTGCGGAACTGCATAAGGACAAAGAAGACCCACTGTAACAATGTTCGTGGTAGATTTGTAACATAAAACCGAGACCTTCAGATGATTAGTAGGTAAAGATAATTATTAGTTCTTCTAAAGCTCGAACCACATTCAAGATTCTTCACTGTGCTACAGTGTAAACAAGCCTCAGTGAGTGCACAGAAAGAGGTCATTTTAATGGCACCCAATGAAAGACCGTCTTTGTCCGAAACAGCTAAATATTCAGTGCTTAAACAGTCAATCATGTAAGTTAAAAAATGTCCATCTACAGTTTAAAAAAGGAAGTTTACACATAAGCCTCCACCCAAACACTTGACTATCACCCAACAATTTGACCACCACCCTTTTTTAAGGGTGTATCTGATCCCCTTTTTACACTGAACTGCACAGCAGAACAGCCAGAAGCATGTAATTTGGCTGCAGTCACACAAATTGCTTCTCATGAGGTTGAGCAGAGGTGTGGCTGTGTTTATTCGTGCTTCAACATAACCAGAGAGAAACAGTAACAAAATAATAATTCTCAGATTCATGTCCTTCTCGTTGGCACTGCTCTCCCTCTAACACATGTACCTCCAACCCCCCCGTTCTGCTTCGTCCTGTATCTTTCATACTGAATAGTGAGGTGGAAAACTCCTGCAATGAATGGGAAGTAAAAGGGGCTAGTGATGTCCTAACAGTGTGTTCAACACAGGGTTAATTCTGACATGTTTAACCCAGTGTAACACAAAGACTAAAAACATGGGAAACAGGCAGTTTGTGTCAAAACATTAATGCCTTGTCTAAGTTACATCTGACATCTGACACTCATCACTGATACGTCAGCAAGCGAGTGACGTTAACAACTTGCTGAGTAGCTAGATGCAGGTCCTAGGTCCAGCTGTTGCTGAGAAGAAACAACTATTTTGTGAAAACAAGGTGCTTGTTAAACTGCAACATCTCTTTGGCTGTTTCTCCAAGTGTAAAACATGTATATGCAATGTGTGCAATGTATGTAGTAGTTTACTCCTGCTTCCAGTGTTTTTGCATGGTAGTGTTTTCTCTGTATTTTGCACAAGTAAACATAATGCTAAGCACTTTTCTTAGGATGTATATAGATTATTCCCTAAATATATTAGAACATAGATAAAAGGCATGAGGCTCCAGACACCTTAAATTTGCTATGAATAAAGACTTGCATTATCATGGCAGCTAGTGGAGACAGTAATGTCTGATCAATTTAGTCAAGACAAAGAGCCAAAGACAGCATCATAAACTTTCTCTCAGGCACTGCAATAAAGTGAAAGTGTGTTTCAGTGCTATATGAAAATTTTATCTTTTTAATGGATTAGTACTTTCAAAACTCCGGAAGGACTGTATGAAGAGAGTAATGGCACACTCTGATGTATAATAATGTGTAAAACTGTACAAAAGTCATGTAAATGAGAGCAAACGAGGTAACATGGCTGTACCTTCAGCTGGTTAAGTTTGAGCAGGTCAGAGTCCATGACAGCTGTGGTGCCAATGACTGTGAGGAGCCGGCGCTGCTCTGAACGTCTCTCCGATAGCACCCGGTTAGCACCCTGTCAGGAAACAGAAACAAAGAGCTTTAAAAAGGAGCCACTGAAAAAATACTTTACTATCAAATGGCCTTGAGCTGGAGGACACTGAACCAGCAAAGCACTTTGACCCCAATGTGCAACTGCAATGTTGGTGTGGGTGAGATGCATTTGCAAAGAAACAACTGACAGTGCAAATAAACCTGAGTAGGAAGCAGGTTTCTCAATTGTATGTTAAAGTATATTTAGGCTCAACCACGTCATTGCTGCATGGAGCACAATATGAAGCAACAACCAACATGTAAAAATTAAGATTTGGATATGAGCAGTTATAACAAGCTGCTTTGTCAGAGTCATAGAAATGATGATGATGATGATGATGATGATGATGATGATTTGCATTATTTCAAAACCTGGTCAAGAAACAGAAGTAAAGAAGCACATTTTATTCCTTTGCATTGAGCAAAAGCTCAATAACCAAGAGCGCTTTCTGTTTGCCAGGTGGTGGTCCAATAACTTGACTGAAAGAAAAGAGGGCTGAATTCAGTTTGTAGTTATCAACCTGAGCAACTTTATAATTAAAAAGACCGAGCACCTTGCCTCAACTTAGAGACCATAAATAAAAATACTAAATTATAGTGTGCTGTAACTCTTGATGTGGCCTAATAAGCCTCAATACCAAACACTGAACAAGGGTTCCTTTGAGAAACCAAGAACAACCAAAGGCTGAAAATAGTAAAAATGACAACAACAAGAAAAACTTGGCAAAATGGAAAAAAGAAAAACCATTCAGTCACAGGTATTCAGTATACAGCAGTGGGCTTGGTGTGTAAAGAACATTGTCAGGCCACGCACACAAAGTCCTGAGGAAGATCGATCCCCGCAAACCAGCAGGACTGGACAACATTCCTAGGAGGGCTCTCAGTGCATGTGCGAGCTGGCTGATGTTCTCACCACCATCTTCAGCCTCTCCCTCTCCCTCCACTATTCCCTTTCTCACCTGGAAAATGGAGACTCCTACATCAGGATACTCTTCATTGACTACAGCTCTGCCTTCAACACAGTTGTCACCCACAAACTGTCCACACTAGGTCTGCACACCACCCTCTGTGACTGGCTCCTGGACTTTCTGACTGGCAGGCCCCAGACTGTCAGGATTGGCAATAGGACTTCAGCCAGCATTGTTACAAACACTGGCACCCCACAGGGATGTGTCCTCAGTCTCATCCTCTACACCCTGTTCACTCACGACTGTGTCGCCTCCCACAAAGACAACATCATCCTAAAGTTCACGGACGACACCGCAGTGATAGGTTGCA